AATAAGCACCCGGCCCTTATACCCCGAGAGCGGCACACCGGCCTTGTCCCTGAGTGCCTGGAGGGCGGTCATTCCCGTGGTGACAACTCCCGAGGCCTCCTCGAACGAGACTGACGCCGGCAGTTTTGCGGCGGCCGACTTTTTGTCGAGGAGAACGTATTCCGCGAGCCCGCCTGATTTCTGCGGGGGGGTAACGAGGCTAGTTGGTTAGGATACTCAAAGGTAGATTGGGGATGGGATTAAAGGCATGAAAGCTGAATGAAGTTTTTCACAAGCGGTTTATAGGCTGAGAATACGAGAGGGAAGGTTTCGCAGTGTGGGACTTTACGTACTCGGCGAGGCCGCCTGATTTCTCCGGGAAATGTACAATGTTGGTTGGGGTATAGAAAAGTAAAGCTGTTCGGCTTAAGGGCTTGAAAGCTGAAAGAAATTGACAAACGGTTCGTTAGGCTGGCCTAATACGAGAGGGGAACTCTTTGCTGTGGCGGACTTTTTGTCGAGGAGAACGCATTCCGCGAGCCCGCTTGAATTCTGCGGGGGGATAAACGGAGACTTATTAAGGTGGTTAGGATTTTGGTGAAAGGGAACGAAGGAACAAGCGTGTTGCAAAGTTGCCATGACGATGGGGAAGGTTTTGAGGCCCGAGGAGGACGTGTTCTGCAAGGCCGCCTGATTCTGCGGGGGAGTAAACCGAGATCGATGGGGGTTTAGCGAGATGGCCAGGGTTTTGGTCAATGGGAACGAAGAAACAAGCGTGTTGCAAAGTTGCGAAAACGACGGGGGAAAGGTTTGCGGCCGACTTTTGTCGAGGAGGACGTATTTAGCGAGCCCGCCTGATTCTGCGGGGGATTTATAACGTTGATTAGAGTCTGAATGTAGATCGAGGTTGGCTTCAAATGCTTGAAAGCCGACTAGAGTTTTACAAACGGTTTGTTAGGATATACGAGAGGGGAAGTGTCGTGACTGCGGACGTGTTCGCAAGCCCGCCCAAGCTCTGCTGAACGGGAGAGATTTGAGTTAGAGGTTGTGGGAAACTGGGTGAACGAGCAGTTTTCAGAGTCGTAAAAGTCAGGTGGCGAGCTTACCAGCGTCACACACGGGCTCTCAGAAAGGACGGACTTAGCGAACCTGCCTGATCCACAGGGGTCTAGGAATCTATGGTGAGGGTTCTGGCGACGTAGCGTGCTGAGCGCAATCGACGGCTTTGAGGATACGAACCGGAAGGACCAACAGATGAGGTCAACGGAGCATAAGCAACACAAGGCGTGTAGCCCAAAATGAAAGGAGCAAATACAAAAGGCAAATCAAAAACCCATTCAACAAAGTTCGTAATGAGCACACATTGAGCAAGGACTATCTTTTCGTAGCTGCACCTTCGTTCCCTGACTAGTCTTTCCGATTAAGATTCACAACCAGAGCTGACGTCAGCTCTGCTCTACCAGAACGGGGGCCAAAAGCGCACCATGACGTCACTCCAGGCCGCGACCCGGTCTCCCACGGCGAAGTCCGTGACGCCCTCGCCGACGGCGGCGACTGTGCCAGCCACGTCAGTGCCTGCGGAAAATTTCCTCGATCTAGTTACTCTGGCTGGCGTTTCTCAGAACGCCCTGATTTGCGTCGTTGTTGTGAGTGCCTTCTCATCTGTATCGACATTCTTTTCCGTGAACAGAGATTTAAAAAGAATCGCGAAAGTCCTGCAATGAACTGCGCTGAAGTCTCAGCTCGAGAACGCTGATGTTGTGAGTCGGATGGTCTTTTCGAGTGGCCGATGAGGTGACCAACAACCTGCCTCCCCATGTTTTCCCTTAGGGCTGAGTGCCAGTATCGAACAGTCGACAGGAGATCCTAGTACTCTGAGCTGAACGGGTTGAGAAGCGCCCTCGAATGGGTTCGGCGCAACCCTCCAAGAAGTCGCATTGAGGACGTCAAAAGCTGGAAAAATGTCTCCGAGATTGAGAAGGGACTTGAGGATCAGACTTATGTTACTGAGTAACGACTCACATGGCGTGATGGGGAGCTTCAGACCGTAGATCATCTTCAAGGATCCGGACTCGAGCTTGTAATCCAGTGGGTTAAGGCTCGTGGCGGCAACCTGCAACGAAATGAGCCGCTTTAGATTTGTCTTTTGAGGCTTGCCAGATTGGGAGAGTAACGAAAGCTTTCTCAATTCCCCCCTTAAGATCTGCCAGCTATTGTTGTGGGGGCTCTAATCCAACATCAATTGGCGGGAAGGCCGTTCGATGCAGTAGTTTGAACCGGCTTTCCATTACACCGTTAGACAAAGAGACTTAAGCATCTTCTCTGGTTGCGATAAGAGAGGTGCGTCAATTGCGTAATGCATTTGAACTCTGCTGATTGCGAAATCACTTACGATCAGGACGTATGACTGGAATCACATGTCTCTATCCTTGGCTGGCACCCACAAAGAATTGAACAGTCTTGTCAAGCAAGCCTAGATTGCAGCTAGAACCGGAAGGGTGAAGCCACTCAGTATAAGCAATCAGCAGCTTGGGAAATGTCTCCTCTTTCACCATTTGTCACTCTTATTCTTTCTACTTGATCTTCCTTCATTTCAGTCATTCATTGAGGCGTCTTTTGTGAAAGCGGTGTACAAATCAACCAACACTCTCCATTTTGTGTAAACCCATGAGACCGTAAACCCTCGGAACAGCATCAAAAAATTGAGTGCTTGTGTGCAATGCAATTGAAACGTTGTAGGGACCGCATCCATTTCATCAAGTGAAGATGCAAGAGAAAGCTTTGATGGAAAGAGCCAAAACATGTTTGCAATCACAGTATAGGTCTGGGATGAAAGTACAATCTTCCTTTTTCAAGAGAGTGGGTGTGAATTTGAATCCATGTTCGTCTTGTCTGCCAACAGTAACAAACAGGATGCGGGTTGCTCTGAGATCCAGGAGAGTAAGAACCATGCAGTGATTACTGAGTATGTCACAACATTGACCATCGACACTGTGCCTGTCTTAACTACCCAAAACTGTCCTTTCAATTGTCAGAGGCTTTGGTCAATAACAGATCAACCCTGTGTCTAAGACAAACCTGGTCCTTAGGCTTGCATCGAAGTGGCCTTGCGGGACCAGAAATTGGATCTCAGTGTTGACATATAGATGACCACAGTGACTCAGCTGGGAACAACCAAGTTCACTATACGGGCCACCCATTTTAATGGACACTCTCCAATTTGCCGCCCCCATTGCAAACATCAAAGCGTTTATCATACAAAGGAATGCTGATCTTGAAAGGCAAAAGTTTCTTTTCTGACCTTCACGAGAAGCTCCTTTGGGCCCGGCGCCGGCACTGGCAGCTCCACCTGATGCATCCCCTTGCCGTACTCCTTGTACTGCCACGCGTGCATCGTAGACGGAAGCGCAATTGCCGCCATGCTCGCACAGCTTCTTACCCTTCTAGCTGTTGAGTTTGCTGCTTTATTGCCAACTGCTCTCAAGCGCCTGCGATCTTTATCTGCGTAATAACAAAAGCTCTAACTGCTGAATGAGCTGGCATGGAAGGGATTGCGGAGTTGTAGCTAGCCTAGTAGCTGAGCGACAGTCACCTCGCTGCATTAATCCTCCACAAGCACATTTGACAGCAGATTAATTTCCAGCTGGTGGCGTTCGTACATGCCATTGTACAATGTGTACAAGTACGGTACCTAGTGGGATACATCATACCTAGCTAGCTCTAGGGACCTACGGTACCGGTAATTGCATGTTCTTGCATGTCGCACTGGGCAGCGGGCTAGGAGAGGACAGTAGGTACATCTTTTGTAGAGGTACCGGTAACCGTAGGCAGTACTAAGGTACAGGATGGGGTGTACATTTTCAGATGTACGGACAAAGAAAGTGCGTCATGGTCTGACATCACCGACCCTGCCTCCATGAAATATGTAGGTGGGTAAACTTTTAGTACGTGGATAACCTGACTGACACAACCCGAGGGTTCAAGCCGGAGCCTTGGCTGTTCAATGTCAATTGCGCACAAGTTTCAATTCCTAACCTTCTTAAACATGAAAGCTTGCCACCCCTTGCTGTCCGAGCCGGTAGACGATGACGACAGATACCTAGTTACCACGTGGTCCGAGAATCTGTATGCCGTACTCCGACATCTGTATGCCGTACGGTCCATCCGACACGAATTTCCATCTGTAATTGGTCGGCGCAAGCGGAAACTTTTGCTTTCCGTCTCGTCTCTAGTTGCTCTTGGAATGCTTAGGGTTTTGTAGCTCTGATTGAAGATCAATTGCTGGCCTGCATTTCCCAGCAGAACTTCAAATAAATAGAGAGCGGAGGAAAGGCGTCGCCAGATTGTTTCCAGAGGCAAATGCGGCGGAGGCGATGGCTACATCATACTGCAAGCTCCATGTCTGCGGTTTGCTCCCTGCCGGGAAGGTGTTAGCGAGGGGCACTAGGGCGGCCACATTTGGTGTGCCGCTGAAGATTGAAAGCGCATCTTCTCAAAATCTGCGCAGGTAAGGGCCTTGACCGCTTGAAGTGTTTTCAGGATGACAGTAGATTGAGTTTTTTGACCGCACTCTCTTCTGAAGGTTGGGCAGACAATCTTGGAAATAAATGAGCATTTATGGTCCGAGCTCACCAAGAGTAGAAAACTTCAGATTGTGAGCCCGGGCTTTGGCAAAATTTCCCCAATTTGATCACTCTTTTTGGCATTCAAAACGCAATGTGCGGCTACTTCTTGGTAATGGTGTGCTGCATTGCAATGTTGTCGTGTTCAACTTTGGACATCCTGCGCTTACATTTCATACATTCCAGCCGGTTAGAACTGCTCAAACAAGAAGCATGCTGCAGAGTCCTCGCAACAATTCTCGCTGCTTCTGTTAGTTAAACAGCGGGTGGATCACATGTGGTTACTTTTGGATTAGGGTTCACATCCGCTTTGCGTTCGGAAATGGAGCTGCATGCAATAACCTCAGTGCGCTGTGTTCTGCTCTTCTTCTTCCTGCAATGCACACTACCAGGTACTTCAAGAGTGACCATCAATTAATTACTCTGAGTAGGAAGTGAAAAGGCAGCGCAGTCATCAGGTCTAATACGTAAGGTGTTTCGTGCTGTAGATATTTTCGAAAGTCACATTGTACTTGAAAGAAGTCATGACTCCTTACCTTATGTTCGACCAAGAGTCAACCCGATAGCGAGCGCCACCAAACACTCCCTCGCATCCAGAAAGTATCTATTTCTCCTTCGAAGCTCCGCTTTGATCCTCTACGGTGACTTATCGCCACCAAAGCCATAACTGCAGGAAGCACCCCGTTCTAGTTCAAGCCTCGGTGGCTACCGAGGCGCCCCCCCCAGCAGGAGGCCCCGATGGTGTCGCTGCCGCCCAGCCGCGCCCCAGGAATAAGGGCCGCCAGCCCCGAAACAAGGCCTCCTGGAGGAAGGAGAAAGAAGCAACTGGCGATGTCGTTCAAGCGGCATCGGCATTACTGCAGCCGAAGACCGAAGGGGAGAGCGCGCAGAGCGGGCCGAAAATTCTGGACTGGTTGAACGAGGAAGGAGTGGATAAGACGGCCGAGGTGAGTAACTGTTGCGTGCCCGCCCAATAGTGGAGAGGTTAAGACAACAATAAGACTGCATCACTTCAATCCATTAAGAGAATTAAAGACAAAGCTCTCCGTGATTTGTCTGCCAAGACGAAGAGACCCCAAGGAGTCCTGAGACTTTGAAGCGAACACGGGCGCTCTGGCATGCTTTGTAATGCTCTTGCACGCTCCAGTTGATTCACCGATACGTCCCTCTCCCTATCCTAGCGCCGATCTGCAGGGCAGAGATGAAATTCCTAAGAGGCAGTCCACATTCTCTTCAAATTCAAGTTTTCACAGACTGCTTTCGTTGAACAAGGGGTCGTGCCGAAAATCAGGCCCCATTCTCACCAGCACGTTTTCCCCCTGTTTACAGGCAACGATCCGCAGGGTGAATAGAGCCATCAGCACCCGGGCGACCGTGCGGGAGGCGCTTCAAGTGGTGGAGGACATGAAGGAAGCGGGGCTGAGCGCAAACGAGGGCACGTTTGCCGCGCTCGTGACGGTGTGCCGGCGCCAGAAGCAAGGAGAGCGCGCGCTGGTGGTGTATGATGTGAGTGTCAAGTTTCGACATGACTCCAAGAGCATCTTTCGTTGACACTATACCAGATTCATACCCGTTTTGACACAGGGAGAGCACGCGCCAGTGGTTCTCGATGTGAGTGTCAAGTTCGGCCCTGAGTGTAATCCGCATTTCTTTGACACTAATCAGAGCCCGTTTGACAGAGCCTGGCGCGTAGCGGTGTGCGGGCGCCAAAAGCAGGGAAAGCTCGCGCTGATGGTCTATGACGTTGGTGTCAGCGTATATCCAAAGTCCGTGTGCGTAATCGGTTCATACGGACTTGGAGTCGTTGTGACAGCATTCTGTCGACGTTTGTGACGGTGTGCCAGGAGAGCGTGCGTGCACGTCAAGATTCAGCTTACAAATGACATCCGTGATTTGTTGACTCTGGAGAGGGGTAAACCGTAACATTGAGAGCACTTTCTGTCCCTAGTCTGACAAAGCCAATGAACAGCCGTCAGGGCATCGCACAGGGAAAGGGGGATTTTAATGTACGCAGACCAACGCAGACCAGGCTTCCGGACACAGCGAGTAGTGTTTGAGCATCGCCCCCAAACCTGTTTTAGTTGACGAGAGAGTTCTTGCTCTTTGGACTTCCGTTGATAGAGTCTTCTGTATGTTTACCGCAGGCCATGAAGCAGGCAGGGATCAAAGCCTCGAAACTCACGTTCCGGAACCTTATCCTGGCGTGCCAGCAGGCAGGCATGCAGGACCAGGCTCTAACCATCAAGGTACGGCTTAACCCTGTTACAGAGGACCCTTGTAGCCGTCAGATTGCATCAAACAGTCGGGTCATCAAACAGTCGGGTTGAAAGTTGAAATGCTAAGACTTTGGCCGAGGAATCAGAGGGTGATGAACTCGTTCAGGAATATCATATCCGCTTCGAACCACCAGACTTTGAAAGTCCAACGTCGCTTCTGAGATTCGCCTTTCAAAAGCTTGTGAAATTGGCCTTGGCAAGTCGCCCTTCGTCGATGCTGGCACTTTGATTCCATCTTGCAATCTGCCGTTGCCCTTTGATAAACATGGCTGTTCTTTACCATGAATCTCCCTCAAAATAAAGTCAAATGTCGCTGCGCAGAAAGACATGATGGCTTCGGGTTACAAGCCGGACCTGGGCACGTACAGCGCACTGCTCCAGGCGATCGTGAAAATGTCCCCTTACAGAGGGCGGATCACTCCTGGGCAGAGGTGAGAGGCGCCATTTTATCTCGGGTTGCCTCAGGCACATGCGAGATGGAATCCATTACGGACTGTGTGGAGTAATGCAAGACTGAGCTTTGTCAGATGTCAGTCAAGTTTGCTTTGTGCGCATACGGGAACGTTCGATGTGGCGTGAAATTATCTCGGCCGTGCTTGTGACCTGGAAGGGTAAAGTCGTCCAATTTTGGAAAGCCTCATACGGACCCTTATAAACGATTACGAAGAAATTTGTCCTGCAGTGCCGCTCTAGATAAGCGTACAGGTGCCACTGTCAAGGCCTTTGCACTCTCAGGACTTCACACAAGCTCGTGACATCCTCTCGCAAGCTCCGAATTGCAAAACCTGACCAGTCCGTCGGAGACCTGCCGTCGTATGTTGCTCACGAGAACGCTGACGTTGTCTCCTGCAGGCTCGACAAGGCGCTGGACACGTACCAGGAGATGAAGGCGGCGGACATCAAGCCTGACGTCATCGTCTTCAACACGCTGCTGAGCGCCGCAGAGAGGGCCAAGAACCCTGGGAAAGCCCTGGTGAGAGCGCGCATCCTCTCAAGATTGGGGGCTTTTGTCTCATTGTATTCCTGCCCTATTTTGCTCGTGTTACTATGCGGCATGTCTATGAACGCCTGGAGGCTAGCAATGATAATTCCGAACCCGAGTGTGAGATAGTGGGGGCCTTCTCTTTCACTTTTTGTCAAATTTGAAAGGGGCCGACGAGCTCATTTGTTTATTAAATGGTGATTCCGAGATCAGGGATTGCAGGAGGATACAAACATTGCACTGCAAGTGCGCTCCATATATCCGCGCTTTCTTTCCTCCTGTCACGGGATTTTTCTTTGTTGCAGAAAGCGGCTTGCGTAAAAAGAAAGCATGCCGATGTTGCACGCAATTTTGCTGGTTTCGTATACCTTCGTTTTCTGATCGACGTCTTTCGATTATGCAGCGAAGTGCGGCTTTCGCCGAGCCTGTACTGGTGAAAATGACCAACGGCATCTGATTTACGACGCAACTCGTTGGTAAATTGCACTTTCCACCCCGTCTTGACACCATTCTTTCTGGCCTACAGGAGATCTACGCCCTGATGGCCCAGGCGGGCATCAAAGCCAACCGCACCACGTTCGAGACGCTCCTCCAGACCGTGGGCCACAGCGGGCGGCTCAAAGCTGCGGAAGAAGTCTTCAACGAGATGCGGGTGGTCGGCGTTGCGCCCCGCACGGCGACTTTCAACTTTCTGATCGAGGCGTGCGGGACTGCGCCCCAGCCGCAGGTGCAAAAGGCGTTCGGGTACGTGGAGGAGATGAAGAAGTCGGAGGAGGCTAAGCCGAACGTGGAGACGTACATTCGGCTGATCAACACGGCCAGCAGGGTGAGTAGTTCCGAGGCTTTTTGGAGGTGTCGAGTTATTTGGGGGTCAGGCGATCCTGGTTACATCAGGCAAAATGTCATTAAAGGTGAGGAAGTTGGGGGAGGCTGGTCCGAACGTGGAGACGTGTTCCGGCTGGTTAACACGGCCAGCAGGGTGATTAAAGTCCGCACCACTCTGTTTCTCCCATTATCGCGAAGCTGTTCCTGGATTGTGCTTAAATTCTGCAGTTGGACGGAAAAGGTGGAGACATAGTCGATGCTCGCACTGTTTAGCTTGGTGGCAACAATAGAGGATCTCTTGGAGATCTTGAATCGGCTAGTTTGCGGCCAAGCAGGAGCAATACACAATCGGCGAACGCGAATCTTTGTAGATGGTCTTTCTTGTTGCGGTTGTAGCCGCGGTCCGGTTGCTGTCGGTCGGTGCTGACGAGCGTTTCTTGTGAATGAAGCGCCATTTCCTTGCCGACATCAAATGTGCTTCTTGCCCCTCGTAGAAAAGCTATTGCTTCGGTGGTTGCTTCAATCAGAATCACCCGTTGCTCAGAGCGCTCGGGCATAATCTCCAAATTGTTTTTTGGTATGCAGGGTCCGAGTCCTGGGCAAGCGCTTAGAGCGTACAAGTTGCTCGTGGAGGCAGGGTTCCGGGAAAAGGTCGGCCTATCGGTTTACAACAGACTGATCAGCGCGGCAGGCCAGGCGGGCAAGCTAGACAAGGCGTTCGAGGTGAGGGGCGTTCTCCTCTTTCATTATATCCCTTCTTTTTTGTTCGCTTTGTCTTTGGTGCGTTCTTTTGTTGCTTCCCTGGTTCTTGCGAATTGAAGTCCTCCTTCCTCCACGATATATCCTGTTTATTGCGGGTCCCAGAATCTCTCTTTCTCAGCTACGTTTCGCTATGCTTTTTGTTTTCCTTTACGTTTCTCATTCGCAATCCAGCCTTCTTTTGTGGGAGTCGGCCTCGAAGGCCCGTCCCCGTTGCGTGCAGAGTTCGTCTTTAAGGTCCAAAAGCAGTTGCTCTCAGCCTTTTCTCCAACGAGTCTCTCGCGAAGCCCTGCTCTTTTTCCATTAACAATCTGTACAACGCCTTCGCTGGGCGCTTCTCGAACTCGGTATCTGAAAAATTCAGTCGCTGAGAAGTTAGTCACTTTGCAGATTTACGATACCTTACGGGAAGCCGGGTTCAAGCCGGATGGCTTCACATACTCCGCCCTGGTAGCAGCGTGCGGGAAGGCAGGGGATGCGTCGCGGGCTTTGGCCGTGAGCGAAGACATGGAGAAGGGGTACGGGCTACTGCCTAACCAGGTGGGTGATTTGCTCCTAGTTGACGTTCTACCATCGGTTTGACTAGAGAGAAGTCGAAGTTGGAACCTGCCAGACTGGAGAGTTTGGCTGAGGTATGTACGATCATTTTACAATCACTCAAATCGACCTCAAAACCTGAACGCTTGACTTTCATGTCCTCATGGCACATGCGGCAGAGGCGGGCAGTAGCGGAAAGCCCTCGCCCTTCTTTTGCAAATCAAGGAGGGTCTTCGGACATTGTGGACTCTCAAAGCTTCTGCGGTTCGAATCTAACTGCCTGAATATCCGGGGTCTAACGAAATCAACTTTTGACATGAAAAGTGTTGCACGCGCTGATGGGCGCGCGTATGAAGGCCGGCAAGTGGTAGGAGGTGCTCGCTCGTTTCCTGCGGATGAGGGAGGCGCACCCAGACCACCCTAATCTTCGTATCTAACAACTAGCATCTTCAATCTCTCTCACTTCCATCGATTCGTTACTTGATAGTTCGTGTTCCACGCGCTGATGGGTGCGTGCGGAAAGGCGGCAAGTGGCAGGAGGCCCTCGCCCTCTTCACGGCGGATGATAAAGGCGGCCCTTAACAACCTGCTCGGACCCTCTTTCTTTCTAGTACGTCCAAATCCTCAAGTACCCCAAAACCCTCTATCAACAGGTGGTGTTCCATGCGTTGATGGGCGCGTGCGGAAAGGCCGGCAAGTGGCAGGAGGCGCTCGCTCTTTTCCGGCGGATGAAGGAGGCGCTTACGGACGAGCCGCCCGGTGTGCTGACGTACAGCATCCTCTTCGACGCGTGCTTCGGGGCGCAGGGCGCGGAGGCGCTGCTGAAGGAGGCGCAAAAGGAGGGGAAGCGGCTGGAGATTACGCAGGGTAGGTCGCGGGGTTCCGGTTGTGGCAGAGACGTCTGCAGTTTGGGAGCTAGAAATTGAGAATGCGAAATTTGGATTTCGGTGATCCGCATCTGGATTTCTGATCTGAGAGGACGAATAACGGGATTGGGGCTTTTGGTTCGAGGGAAAGCCGGACCTGCGGGGCGCGACTCGGAGGGATGATGCGTTCGGATCCAACGGTTGGGACTCGAGAGGTTCGCGAAATTGAAGGTTGAGGTTCGGGGGCGCGGATATCTGTTGCCAATACCCGAGATAGAGTTCCATCCAGCTTACTGGGGCGTGGCGACTTAACACAAAACGGAACAAAAATGGATTAAAGAAGGCTTTCTGGTTCCTAAAATGATACCACACTGTCACGCGCTGATGTCATCTTCTGGCGACCAGGCTACTGCTCCTATGGAACCCTTGTTGCTTTTGACGTCACATCGCATGCGTCCGTCTACACTCTGTTCAACGGCACGTTCAGAAGCACCGACATACGCTATCATAAAGACACCTCTAGAACTTTGGAGGATTGCGTCCGACCTTACGGCAACCTTTGCACTTGCTTGTCTCGAGTTGCTTTCATTGAAGCGCACCTCGCATGTCAGTCCTCACCGTCGTGATTGAATCGTCATCGGTGAACCTCTTGCAGGGATAAAGGCCGCGCTGAATCTGTATAGAGAAGGGCAGACGGCGGGCGTCTTCAAAAACTTCAGCGAAGATGATCTTACCAGGTAACTCTTACAACGTCAGCACAGGCATTTGAAGTCAGTGCGGGCGCCAACTCTTGATTTGACCTTTTCTTGGTTCCGTATCGACCAAAGTAAAGAGACGACACAACGGCAGCCAAAATTCAGCTTGTGCATCCTTTGAATGTCAGTCGGAAGCTGTAAGATCACGGGTCTGGCAACGCTTCCCGTGATCCGGTTCAGTCAGCCCACGTCCCTCAAATTGTGCATCCTTTTAAGACAATAGGGCTTAAAAGGCCAGCTCGTCTCTGGCTCTTCAGAGCCTGCCAGTAGGTGCCGACAGACCTATGCCTGAAGCATAAAGAATCTCGGGTGAAAGGTACCTTGCCTCCAGCGCTTTGTCTCGACCAGGGGGAGCCTTGAGCAAATGCTATCTGTGCTCAAGGCAGAAACGGCAAGTTTGTTCTCACCCCATGAGTGCGCTCCGTGAGTAACAACCTTATGCTGACTAGTACGGTCCGCTTGTCCGCAGGTGTGACATTCGGACGCTGTCACGGTCCGGAGCCGTGGTCGCGTTGCTGGCGCTGCTCGACCGGCTAAAAGAAAAGCCGCCCACTCTAGATCTGGTCGTGGTGACCGGGAGCGACAAGGCCAAGGTGAGCTCGACGTTCGATTTTGCGTCACACTTGCACAATCCGAACACCTTGTGTTTGTAACCGACACCATCTCTCAGGCTTGGCAACGTTCCTACGAAGTCGAACCACAATCATCTCCGGACCTTTTTGCTATGTTGACGTGGGATCCTGAAGTCCTAGGACCGGCTTCAAAAGCCCTCTGAGAAGATTTTACATCCGTCCAGAACGTTGCGCGCGCACTTACGTGGATTGAGCTTGATTGAGAGCACAACTGAGTGTCAATCAAGTCGTTTTGAGCATGGGAGACGTGGGCCTTTTATTGCCGTCGTACAACCAACCAAGACCGAACAGTCCTTAAGTGGCTCCTTGATTTCCAATTGCTCGGCATGTCAGACGTTCGGCAGCGACACTGAGCCCGGAGTTGAAAGTGCTGAGGAGCCAGTTGGGAATGATTCAGGCAGATGTTTGCTTAGGACATGGTCGAAATATCTTGCTAAGCTGTAGATGCTATCATGATTGGGATGAGATCTAGACCCACCCCCCTTTATGTTTTCTTGCCGTGACTAACTGTTTGAAGCTTGCTCGGTTTCAAGGAAAGTCGCGTGTCAGTGAGAAGAACCTGGGACTCGATGATGTACGAATTGGCAAGGGAGCCAAAGATTAAGCCTTCGTCCCTCCACTCTGATTTGACTAATAGAACGTTTATTCCTCCTTTGTGAGCAGGCGTTCATTGCTCGAGGGGCCACGAAGAAACCGACCGGGGGCCGGTTACCAAAGCTCGCGGAAATCGCTTTGTCAACGTTCAACGCACTGCAGCTGCCGTGCAAACCTTTGACCACTTTGACGTTCCAAGCATTGACGGTAGAAGCCCCCGCGCTGCAGAAATGGTTACAAGGGGGAATTGAGGGAGGGGAGTCGCTAGCACGTCAGCAAAGTAGTGTAGAGTCCGCTGTCGGTAAGGCGCCGGAAGTGCTTGTAGGCAACAAGGGGACGATGGAGGCGCTTGCGACTTAGCTTTTGTCTAGACTGGGTTATGCCAGGTGTGGCTGTATTCTAGTTTGTTTTCATTAGGTAATTGCAGGTGATCAGCATGCTTTGGTTTGCGAGATCTGTTGGAAGCGAAAAAACCAACTAGTCAGAATCGTAGGCATCTACAATGGGCCTCATTCCATTCTTTCCAATGTCGAGCATCCTCTAACAGGTCAGTACCTGAAAGGATCGATCGACAAAGATTGTTCTTGCAGCTTTCGAAGCACATCCTGTTTGCGCCAGACAGAATTGCGCCATGTGGCGCGGCTCAGCTGCATCACAGGCCGCTTTTAACCGCCCTCAGGGCACGGGTTGTGGACTGAGCTCCAGGTTGCGGAACGGCGGGGCCTGTTTGACACCATCCAACATGATCGACTCTTTGTCAGACCGGCTCTGGCATGCTACATTCAGCGGCTGTATTCTTTGTTCCTAATCAACTTAAGTAAGGGCAGGGCGGCTAGGCGGGCGAACTTTCCAATTTGCATGCTAGTGGGGGTACCGTCCTGATCGACATTATGGTGCACGCCGTTGCGACTTCAGCGTGGGTTCGCGCACAAAAACATTCCAGAGTACAGCTAGCCATAGTAAGTAAATAGATAAACATCTCCCCCATGTCATGCGCGCATGTTCATTGACTTGGAGCGTGAGTCTGAATGCTGGCATCCTAAAGCTGATCGAACCATCCCAACCATGCCCTGACCGTCGGACGAGTCTCGTAAGCTTCCTGTTGATTCGAAGCACCTCGAAGTGCATGTTCGAGTCCGAGCTCCATGCAACGTGCTCAGCCTGTCTGCCTAGCTGGCCTTTAACATGGTGAGAGTCTGACGCCACATGCGCACGACTCGGACGTACAGGCCCGACTTGTGCATGACGGCCGGGGAGCGGCGAACTACCGGGGGGTCGGGCCGGCCATCGCCGCAGGCGATGGGTGGTCGGGCCCGCAGGGCCCGACCCCTTGGGCCTCCTCAAACGTTTCACTAAGGTCAATCAATTTCAATCAATCAATTTATTTTATAGTCCCGTAGGAGCCATGGGTGGCTCATGAGACAAGGTCTGAATGTAAGTCAACAAGGTAAGTCGGTCTTTTGGCAGTGGTATGACCTACACGCGAGCAATCACCGCAGAGGAACTCTACAGAGGTTCCGTAAATTTCAACCTCGTCTGCATGGCATTCGAAGGTGACCGTCGGGCCAGATCCTATCAAAATCGAATCGGGAAGCTAATAGGGATTATCGGTCTTTTACCGCGCCGGCACTGCAAATTCAATTTGAATGCAGCGTGACTGTCCTGGCAATGGGCATCACTGTCAGCGATTCAGCATGATGCTCTTCAGCTCCTGTTCTAGTAGGTACGCAGGCTTGACGGCGCACTTGGAAAGCGCATAATAAAGTTAATATCATGCAAGACTTATCGGTATTCAGCCGGCAGTGACTTCTCATCCCTTGCCATAGTTGAATGCAACGTTTTCGTTAGTAGTACTGCCAGGATTGGACTTTATCTCACTTTCCAATGATACAACATCTTCCTTTCGGGACACGTTGCATTATGATGGCAAGGTCGGCAATGGGCATGCTGTGACGCGACTCGGATCTTAGCTGAATGTAGATCCCAGATCCGGATTGCGTCACATGGTGGGTCTGCCACATGACATGCCAGGTGATTTTTCATGCTCATGTTGAAGGACAGACCACCATACAGTGATGTGCTCCGCATTTCAAACGATCGAAGCATATGCTTGCTAAGTCGTATTATCTTTCACTGGACACGCTCTGGATGACTACGTTTACATTGACCAACGGCGGCGCTATTCCGGTCGAGGGGCTGGCAACGCACCCGAGTGTCAACGATGATCCACGGCAAGATTTGAATAGCCAATGGTGCTACTTTTCATCCGCTGTGATACAGCTCAAGCTTATACCCTGTCCTTCTTGTGCCATCTGCTCCATGTTCTTAGCAGATCTCATAGGATGGCTCAGTTCTTGAAAGCAGACCTAGATGTTGACCCTCCGATGTGCACTTCATGCACAACTTCATTCGACAGATCTACGCACACCTGCAAGGAAGGGAAACTGTATGTTCAAATGCGAGGCACGAAAGGGGCTCAATAGCATGCTCTGTCAGGTTGACTGCTGCCCAAAGTGCATCAGCAGAATCCGTGCAGGCAATCTAGATGACTGTAGGCATGGTTTCCTTGGTCGATTTTCAGTGCCAAGAAGATTCACAGAAGTTGCGCCGGAATGATCATAAGCAATGCTGATGATCCTGGTCATTGTCAAGGGCTTCTCATATCCTTGACAAAGCCTACAGTGCACTTGTGGGCCCGGGATTCATTCTGAAGTGTTGCCCATTGAAGCAAGTCAATGAACGTGCCAATCAGTCTTGCGCTGGCAAACTAGAAAGTTTCCAACAACCACGAAGCAGAGATATCAACGGCGGCTGACCTGCTGTAGTGCATGGAGCACTAGATGCTTGAGGTGGGCGGAAGCAACCGGGCGTCTGCAATTCTTGAAAAAGAAGAGCATTTTGAATCTGTATGAAGAGCAACCAAAAAGGAGTGGGTATTATGATGTATTGAGCATCAAAAAGAAGACCAGTAAGGATCAGACCCACCGCAACAGCATATGCCACAAAGAAAGGATCGGAGAGAAGATAGAGAGACAGGGTGATTTGGCAACAATCTGGGTGATTTCGAAAAAGCTTATTTACCACTTGAGAATCGTCTCCACTTTACCCACACTAAGCACTTTGTTCCAGCGGTTTTGAGAGTATCAGTTGCAAAAGTGATCACTGAGAGCCAGCCAGAGCCTGTTCACATGCTTGGAATATAAGGTATCTGCACACCTGGGCATGTGGAGATGTCCTCGTTCTGCATTGAAGTTATAAGTCCTACCGGCCAGCTCTCAGAAGGCCTGCCGCTGGCGGGATCTGAGACGACCTGACATTTCAGGTACTCAAATCTGCATAAGAAGCAATGAGGAATTGAGAGATCAATCGTAAAAAGTGCAAAGAAAGTTTGGATCTGTGTCAAGACTTTTCAAAGAAGCATTCTGATAAAGCGCATCCTCCTGGCGCATGGTGCAGGTTGCACCGACTTCCACCGACTTCCTGAAGGGGAGACGGAGAACCAAAAGAAAAGCAAAAAGTGCTCGAGAGACTCACGGCAGCATGGGTGCAAATCTTGGCCCCCACCTGAACACGTTGAAGCCACGCTTCTTTTGCACCAGAGTGCACTCTGTTTTGGAAGGCGGACCTGCGGTGGTGCTCTGCGTGACCCCAGCCAAAGCTGAACTGCGTCAAGAATGCATTGGATCATGAGTTGATGAGATGCATTCTGATATGTCCACTTACTATCCAATATTTGCGTCGGCTCTTCTGATGCATAAACGTGAGCTACACCCTGTCACAGGTCCCTGTATGTCTCTAGCGAGGCGTATTTCAAACTACTTACAAGTACCCAAGTCACCAATGCATAAGCAAAGGACCTTTCACCAGATTATCATTCTTTCGCGTGCAGAAAGCTGAAACAGGTCTAGGTACAAAGCTGAAACAAGCTCGGCACAGACCTTAAGAGACGCTCAGTCGTACTCTTGAGCGCAACCCTGCGATCCAGGAGCCAGCATCTACGTCTCAGGCTGCAGAGCCTGCGGATGGTTGTAGCGTTGGATGTAAGTGCTTGGATTCAAAACTCCAAAATCGAACGACCAGCGCTTGAGCTTTTTGCAGTCCCGCAACATTCCTACTCTTTCTGACCAGCCCAAACATAAGGAATACTTTGAGCAGCTCTGCCGCATCTGGAGTCTGAGAAGAACTAAATAAGCGCGATCCAAAAGCCATCGCTTTCTTGCGCGCAGGCTCCCTTTTTGGAGAACCCATTGCATTGCCATGGCGCCGCTGCCTAAGAAACAAACAGAACTTATGCGCCGTTGAGCTTTTCAGCTAGCAAGCCTTCTTGTGCATTTCTTCTGCCTGCCAGTGCAGGGGAGGCGCGCCTCAGGCTGTGGTTGATTGATTGAATCTGCAATGCTGGTTCATCGACGACCGTGGCAGCCATGCCAGCGTCGCACCATTTACTCCATTTTAAATTGCACCCACAGATGTCTGGAACTTTGGGAAGTTTTCCGAACCGTAGATGAGAATGCAAAGTTGTTCAAGGCGTCGGATTGAAAACTTCTGCACTAAAGTCAGAGACGTCCGCTGTCAGACAGAAAGTTGTCTGAACCATCCGATCTTCCAGAGAAGTTTTTGAAGAAGTTGTTGCATCCGCAGATGAAAGTTTCTGAAGTTTGAAGGGCCGTCCGATGGGTCTGCACAAAAACTTCTGATTGGTCCGGCGGGCTCGACGCTCAAAAACTTCGCCGTGCGCGGGGCGAAGCCCAGAGTCCGAGTCTTCATTCAGCCAGTGCAACATGGCGGCCGGCCGAACCCTGAGGTTGCAGAATT